TCTGCCTTGGTATGTTGAGTTTTGGGTTCTGTCCTGTCTAGTGTCCAGTATCTGTTATATAGTCTGCTTGTCATGTCTAGTCTCTCTGTTTTCCTCTGCTCTCTCTCTCTGCCTCGTTAGTCTCATGTCTGTCACCTGTGTTGCTCCCGCCCTGCTCGTTAGTCCCTGTGTATATATACCTGGTGTTTCTGTCTTGTCCTTGTCCGGTCATTGTTCATGTTACCCCCCAGTCTGTCGTGCGTGTACTCTCTGCCTGCCTAACCAGCCTTGCTTGTCTTGTCTTGTCTCGTCTCCCTGTACTTTTGGATTTTGGATTTCAGTTATTCAGCCACTCACCTGTAAGTGTGCTCGCTTTTGTTTGTTTATTAAAACCCTTCGTTATACCATACCTGCTCCGCTCTGTGTCCTGCGTTTGGGTTCTCCATCCTGCCTCCACACCACGATCCTGACAGAATGACCGGACCAATTAAGAGCCCAGCAGACACTCTAACTGAGGAACAGACTGATGTGCTGAGGGAGCTTCTGACGCTGAGGAATATGTGGTATGGGGCTAGTCATGTTAGCCATAAGGCAGCTATCGTGTCCCTTGCCTGGAAGAGCCTGGCTGCTCAGCCAGGAGCAGCAGACTCTCTCCCTGGGTGGGTTTGTGACTTCCTCCACACCTCAGCCAATCCCCCAGCCAAGTCCTCATCAGTTCCTCAGTCTGTTAGCCTGGAAACGGCTAACACCCGGACCGCTAGCCTCCAGCCGTCATCTCCCCGGCCTGCTAGCCCTCCGCCTGTCCTGCCTGTTACCTGTTCGGCTGGCGCCGCTAGCCCTCCGCCTGTCCTGCCTGTTACCTGTTCGGCTGGCGCCGCTAGCCCTCCGCCTGTCCTGCCTGGAACCTGTTCGGCTGGCGCCGCTAGCCCTCCGCCTGTCCTGCCTGGAACCTGTTCGGCTGGCGCCGCTAGCCCTCTGCCTGTCCTGCCAGTATCCTGCTCGGCTAGCGTGGCTAGTCCTCTGCCTAGCCTGTCCGTCCGCCTGCCTGCCCTACCTACCAAGGACTCAGGGACTATGACTCTCCTGGCCTACCTGACCATGAAGGCCAGGGAGTCAGAGGCAGCACGGGCAGCTAGCCTATGGCCTGATAGCCTGGAGGCTAGGCTTCCCCCGGAGTCCTCCTTCGAGGGAAGTCGCCTGGCCATCTTTTCGGGTTCCCGTGGTGGTCATCGGAGGCGACCAGGTCACCAGCAGCGACCCGTCTGCAACCAGCGTGATCCCCGGCCTGCTAGCGCTGCTAGCAGCCTGCCTGCCCACCTGCCTGCCCACCTGCCTGATCCCCAGCCTGCTAGCGCTGCTAGCCGCCTGCCTGATCCCTGGCCTACTCCTGCTCCCAGGTCTCACTCGGTCGTCCTACCGACACCTGTTACTGGTCCCTCATCGAAGGTCCGACTGACACCAGTTCCAAGGTCTCCGTCGGTGGCCAGACTGGTTCCCGCTCCCCGTGCCCTGTCGGTGGTCCGACCAACGCCAGCTCCGTTGGTGGCCCAGCCGATTCCTGTTCCCAGTGCTCCGTCGGTGAACCGACCGGCACCAGCTCCGCCGGTGGCCCAGCCGACTCCTGTTCCCTCGTCGGTGGTCCGACCAACACCAGCTTCGTTGGTGGCCCAGCCGACTCCTGTTCCCTCGTCGGTGGTCCGACCAACACCAGCTTCGCCGGTGGCCCAGCCGACTCCTGTTCCCTCGTCGGTGGTCCGACCAACACCAGCTCCGTTGGTGGCCCAGCCGACTCCTCTTCTCCCGTCGGTGGTCCGACCAACACCAGCTTCGTTGGTGGCCCAGCCGACTCCTGTTCCTCATGCTCCGTCGGTGGTCCGACCAACACCAGCTCCGTTGGTGGCCCAGCCGACTCCTGTTCTCTCGTCGGTGGTCCGACCAACACCTGCTTCGCCGGTGGCCCAGCTGACTCCTGTTCCCTCGTCGGTGGTCCGACCAACACCAGCTCCGTTGGTGGCCCAGCCGACTCCTGTTCTCCCGTCGGTGGTCCGACCAACACCAGCTCCGTTGGTGGCCCAGCCTGTTCCTCGTCCTCGTGTCCGGTCCATGGTCCCCAGCCCAGCTGTCCAGTCGGTGGTCAGGCCGACTCCAGCTCCTCGTGTCCGGTCCATGGTCCCCAGCCCAGCTGTCCAGTCGGTGGTCAGGCCGACTCCAGCTCCTCGTGTCCGGTCCATGGTCCCCAGCCCAGCTGTCCAGTCGGTGGTCAGGCCGACTCCAGCTCCTCGTGTCCGGTCCATGGTTCCCAGCCCAGCTGTCTCGCCGATGGTCCTCAGCCCAGCTGTGCCTCCAGAGCACCAAAGCTTTGGGTGCCGACCTCTGGAGAGGTCTTGCCGTCGGCCTCCTGCTCGGCCCCCAGTGGGGTTGCTGCCTCACTGTTGGCCGTCCTGCCAACCCCTTGAACTCTGTGGCCCCCCTGTTCTGCCCGGCCTCATGTGTCGTCCCATGGGACGGTCTCCTGAACTGTGTTTACCCCCTGATTTGCTCGGCCTGTCGGGTCGTCCTTCAGGACGGCCTCCTGAACTGTGTTTTCCCCCTGATTTGCTCGGCCTGTCGGCTCCTGAACTCCGTGATCCCTTTGGTCTGCCCGGCCTCCTGGGTCGCCCTCCGGGACGGCCTCCTGAACTGTTCTGCCCCTCTGCCCTGCCCTGCATGTTAGGCCAAGTGCCTTACCTGCCCTGTTTCCTGGGCATGATCTGCCTGTTGGGTGGTTCCCCCGGACTGTTTTGTCCCCTTGGCCTGCTTGTGCGACCTCCCGAACTCTGTCGCTCCCTTGCCTTGCCCACTGGCCACCCTCCTGAGAGTTCCTGGTCTGGCCCTCCTCCTGTCCTCCCTCCGCCCACCCTGGGCCGGCTTGTGCCTTGATTTTGTGCTGTTTTGGGTTTTGTTGACCGTCTGGAGACGCTCGTCGGGGGGGGGGGGGGGTACTGTCACGCTCTGCCGGTTGGCCATCCTTTGTGTTTACTTTTGAGTTTGGTATCTGCCTTGGTATGTTGAGTTTTGGGTTGGTATACCTGGTGTTTCTGTCTTGTCCTTGTCCGGTCATTGTTCATGTTACCCCCAGTCTGTCGTGCGTGTACTCTCTGCCTGCCTAACCAACCTTGCTTGTCTTGTCTTGTCTCCCTGTACTTTTGGATTTCAGTTATTCAGCCACTCACCTGTAAGTGTGCTCGCTTTTGTTTGTTTATTAAAACCCTTCGTTATACCATACCTGCTCCGCTCTGTGTCCTGCGTTTGGGTTCTCCAACCTGCCTCCACACCACGATCCTGACAAGAACTCTGCAGCCGCTCCCCCCTCGGCTCTCTGCCTTTAAACCCTTCGTGTCCATCGGGATCAGGTGCAGCCACTTATAATAGTTTCTAACTAGTATCTAACTGAACAGTGATTCCGTTACAGGACGTAGCTAAATCTCACATCGCCCTTAACACAACGGCAGCCTTTACTTCAAAGCATTATCACCCTAATGTCTAACACTAAAGTTAATCTAACGCATTTTGCCTTCTCTCTTCTTGCTGACTTGTCTTTGACTCATTAAAAGCTGCGGTTAGAACACACTAACTTACTTAACGTTGCTTACACTAATGTCTAATTAGCGTAACGAGCTAACGTTAAGCTAACAAGTTATATGCCGACAGGGATACCTGTTAAATGTTAACACATAAATAAAATACAGGAATGGAGGTTCCCTCTCCAATGAACTGCAAGCCTGCCATTGTTCATCCGGTGTCTGCATGTAGAAATGTCCAAAAGGCTCCGACAGGCTGAGCCTCAGAGCTCCGTGTAGCTGAGTGAGGCTAACAGATGGCAGACTGAGTGCTAGCAGTGGCAGCGGCTAATTGCACCTGTCAAACAAAACGGCCACGCCCCTAATAATGCAGAAATTTAAGGCTTAATATATTTTAAACAGGTGAGTTATAAAAAAATTCACCCCTCACAGTTGTCACGAAGGGCAAAATTAGCGATTTGCACTAAAACCATTTTTTGAGCCAGGTTGTAAATTTTTACATGGGGGTCAATGGAGATTGACTCCCTTCTGCAGCCAGCCTCAAGTGGCCACTCGATGAATTGCAGTTTCAGATACTTAGGCATTGGTATCGGAAGTGAGAGCCGGAGGTTGCTGCTTGGGATGGATGGATGGATTTTATTATAAGTTCTACTTCCTCTAAGGCCCCATCCACACTACTCCATTTTACTTTAGTTTTTGCTGCGTATCAGAGTTGATCATGAACATGAAGCAGATGGTCTGAGATTGGTCAAAGAATGCAGATGAAGAACTGCACCAGATTTCATTTTGCATGGACCAATAAGTAGCTGGGACTGTTACTGAATGTAACACGGGAGTGAGGTGCTGGAAAACAGACTGGGAGTCGTCACAAAGTAAACGGTGACATGCACAGAGCAAGTGTAGGCTGTAAGTGTTATTTGCACAGTACAGAATATTTTAATAAAAATACCACATCTAAAACTCAGTAGCATTGTGTTTCTGCTCTGCAGGACATATGAGACCCAAAGTCCTCCGTTTTTGCCGTCTTCAGTAAGTGCCCTCCGGAGTTTCAAAATGAAAAACGGGGTCGGCAGCGTTTCCAAACTTCTCCGTTTTAGGTCTTTTGTTTTCGGAGCAAACGTAGAAAAAGGTCTCCGCTTTAAAAGCAAAACGCAGCAGTGTGGATGTCTTTGACAGTCACCTAGAGAGGCTGTGATCTGATGATGATGATCTTTATTTATAGAGCACTTTTCAAAAACCATGTTACAAAATGCTTCCACTAATGCAAACACAATAAGACATGATAAAAGTAAGAAATTAAAATACATTTAAAAGATAAAAAATACATCAGGAAAGGCTTTCTAAAAGGAACTTTGAAACCTCCTAATTATCCACAGCAGCAGCAGCAGTTTGTGTGTTTAGAGGTTCCTGAATGGATTTCAATGATTCGTGTGATAAGAATAAAACATCTTATGTTTGCAGAGTTCAGTCCAACAGACAGAGAGCAGAGTCTGCAGGATCCAGCTGTCTGTCTCTGAAGAGTTACCGGTCCCACCTTAAACCTCCGGACTTCAGTAATGAACCTGGACCCTCAGACACAAAGTAAGAGACAGTTTTTACTGTAAACTGACCTGATGGAAGATGATGCATTGAGGATGAAGACAAAATGTTCTGCTAACAGATTTATATTCCTGATGCAGAACTATTAGTGCAGATTCTGTTTCAAACTAAGATGGATCTGATTTGATTTCTGTAGCAAAACACCTGAGAATCTCCAGTTCAGAATTTACACTTCAAGAAACTCTTCATATCTTTTCCCTCATGTTGAAGTTGCTGTAAAGATTTAGAACAATTCAACAAAGATCAACTAAAGAAATGTCTTCACAGAGAGAGAAAGAGGAGTCCTGTTTCTGTGGAGGAGCAGCCGTCCTGCTGTGCTTTGTGTCAGGACGTCCTGAAGGATCCAGTCTCTACCAGCTGTGGACACTGGTTCTGCAGACGGTGCATCACCTCATACTGGGACCAGTCTGCTTCATCAGGACACTCCTCCTGTCCCCAGTGTGGAGACAGATCCAGGAGGAGCAAACTGATTGGCAGTAGCAGAGCATAGTGGACAGGCTGGGCCATTTGCAGCACGGTAGGCAAACACCAGTTACTTGAACCGGATAAGAACACCCACCAGTAGCCGGTGCTGATTGGCCAAAAAAGCGCTCTGTGCATCTGCAGTCGATTGCTCTTCCTCAAGGACCTTGACCTGCCTGTGACCTTAAAACTGAATCTTGTGGATTGAAATTGAATTTAGAGAGCTCAAAGTGAAAACACACACAGACTTGAATTTTTAGTGAGGCTCAAATACAGTTTCAGTTTAGATTCATAATATCACATTCAGTTTCAAGTTTATTGGAATTCAGTTTCAAGCTAATACATTCAAATTCAAGTTGAGCAATTCAAATTCAGTTTGTACTGACACAAAAATCAGCCCATTCCACAACCAGAACGTGTACCGGTGTTTCGGAGAGCTACTCACCCGGGGAGCGGGCGGCGTCCTGGCTCTCCCGCAGTCCGCGTCCCTGCTGCGGTCCCGCGGCTACAGCTGTCCGAGAACATGCCGGGAAATATTATTAAAATGTCTGCAGACCAGTGTTGGGCAGAGACGCTTTGTAATAATGTTACTTTTCTCAGTAACTAGTAGTTTAACTAATTACGTTTCTAAAACGGCAATATGATTACTAGTTACTAATGCAAGTAAAGCTGCGTTACTCGTTAATGAACGCACCATCCTTGACGTGAATGCGTGACAAAATCTAAAGGAAGGAAGGAGAACAAGGGAGAGAGGCGTTCTTTCTACAGCTGTAAGTAGCTGCTGCCATTATTGTGTCACAGTCTAACATGCAAAGAACATTATCGTCTATTGGAAACTCTGTGCGAGCGTCAAAAAGCTTTCAGCCGCGAACATTTCTACATCTGATTTATCGAAACATCTGCTGAAGCAGCGACGTGAAACTTACAGAAAGAAACTGAAAAAGAGCTGCTGTCACTGATGCTTGGACTCGTCGGGAGACAGTGTTAATGTAAAGTTGGGGTTGTAGCCAATTCTGTGGTCTGTTCGCTGCCACTAGGGGCGCTAAAGATACTGGTCGCTGCCACTAGGGGCGCTAAAGATACTGGTCGCTGCCACTAGGGGGGCTAAAGATACTGGTCGCTGCCACTAGGGGCGCTAAAGATACTGGTCGTTGCCACTAGGGGCGCTAAAGATACTGGTCGCTGCCACTAAGGGCACTAAAGATACTGGTTGCTGCCTTGCTGCCCCACAAACCACTGGCCGCTGCCACTAGGGCGCTAAAGATACTGGTCGCTGCCACTAGGGGCGCTAAAGATACTGGTCGCTGCCACTAAGGGCACTAAAGATACTGGTTGCTGCCTTGCTGCCCCACAAACCACTGGCCGCTGCCACTAGGGGCGCTAAAGATACTGGTCGCTGCCACTAGGGGCGCTAAAGATACTGGTCGCTGCCACTAAGGGCACTAAAGATACTGGTTGCTGCCTTGCTGCCCCACAAACCACTGGCCGCTGCCACTAGGGGCGCTAAAGATACTGGTCGCTGCCACTAGGGGCGCTAAAGATACTGGCCGCTGCCACTAGGGGCGCTAAAGATACTGGTCGCTGCCACTAGGGGCACTAAAGATACTGGTTGCTGCCTTGCTGCCCCACAAACCACTGGCCGCTGCCACTAGGGGCGCTAAAGATACTGGTCGCTGCCACTAGGGGCACTAAAGATACTGGTTGCTGCCTTGCTGCCCCACAAACCACTGGCCGCTGCCACTAGGGGCGCTAAAGATACTGGTCGCTACCACTAGGGGCGCTAAAGATACTGGTCGCTGCCACAGTCTCTAAGCGAAGGCTCCTTTCTGTTCCTTGTCACACAAACTGTGACTGTATTAAAAAAGGTCAGTTTCAAGTTTTTATACAGTCTATGGTTCCAAAGTAGACCTAAAGTGACCTTAGATCATTTAAATTATCTCAACTGGTAGATGATAGAGAGGAATGGATCGGTGTGGTCGCTGCCACTAGGGCGCTGAAGACGGTGGTCGCTGCCACACCGACCGGTGTGGTCGCTGCCACTAGGGGCGCTGAAGAGGGTGGTCGCTGCCACACCGACCGGTGTGGTCGCTGCCACTAGGGCGCTGAAGACGGTGGTCGCTGCCACACCGGTCGGTGTGGTCGCTGCCACTAGGGGCGCTGAAGACGGTGGTCGCTGCCACACCGGTCGGTGTGGTCGCTGCCACTAGGGGTGCTAAAGATACTGGCCGCTGCCACTAGGGGCGCTAAAGATACTGGTCGCTGCCACTAGGGGCACTAAAGATACTGAAGACATCACGAACCAGAGAGAGGGCATGAGACGAGGCTACACAGTCCTGGGTTGCTGCCACACAGACCACTGCTGCCACACCGGTCGGTGTGGTCGCTGCCACTAGGGGCGCTAAAGACGGTGGTCGCTGCCACACCGGTCGGTGTGGTCGCTGCCACTAGGGCGCTGAAGACGGTGGTCGCTGCCACACCGGTCGGTGTGGTCGCTGCCACTAGGGGCGCTAAAGATACTGGCCGCTGCCACTAGGGGCGCTAAAGATACTGGTCGCTGCCACTAGGGGCACTAAAGATACTGGTTGCTGCCTTGCTGCCCACAAACCACTGGCCGCTGCCACTAGGGGCGCTAAAGATACTGGCCGCTGCCACTAGGGGCGCTAAAGATACTGGTCGCTGCCACTAGGGGCACTAAAGATACTGGTTGCTGCCTTGCTGCCCCACAAACCACTGGCCGCTGCCACTAGGGGCGCTAAAGATACTGGTCGCTGCCACTAGGGGCGCTAAAGATACTGGTCACTGCCACAGTCTCTAAGCGAAGGCTCCTTTCTGTTCCTTGTCACACAAACTGTGACTGTATTAAAAAAGGTCAGTTTCAAGTTTTTATACAGTCTATGGTTCCAAAGTAGACCTAAAGTGACCTTAGATCATTTAAATTATCTCAACTGGTAGATGATAGAGAGGAATGGATCAAAGCAATTAGATGTGTTGAGGAATTTTCTACTGTATCAGGCTTAAGAATGAACTTGAACAAATCTGTTTATTAGGCTACCACTTAAGGAATGTGAACTATCAGAAGTTAATGGTTTCCAGTAAAGAACCCAGTTACATACCTGGGTGTGATAAGGATGAAAAACTCTGCAATAACCTGAACCCTATGATTAAACAAATAATGAAAAAGGTTCAACATGTGGTGGATGAGGCATCTTTCACTGAATGGTAATGTTCTACTATCTCATACTGAGGGAATGTCCAGATCTATGTATCCTTATCACTGGAAATGCCTACTAAAATATTCAAAGAATTATATAAGATCTCATTTAATTTCATTTGGAGGAACAAATGTCATTATTTAGGGAAAGATACCCTATGCAACTTTAAAAATTGAGGTCTGGAGGTTTTAAGTTTTGAAACCTTAAACAATACTTTCCAAAGTTAAATGGCTAACTAAGTTGAAAAAATGGCCTGGAAATGAATAGATAGTATTTTATTCGCATGGTTGCCGTTATTCAATTCAAAAACACCAAAGTATGAAGAAGACATCACGAACCAGAGAGAGGGCATGAGACGAGGCTACACAGTCCTGGGTTGCTGCCACACAGACCACTGCTGCCACACCAGTCGGTGTGGTCGCTGCCACTAGGGGCGCTGAAGACGGTGGTCGCTGCCACTAGGGGCGCTGTAGAGGGTGGTCGCTGCTACTAGGGGCGCTAAAGACGGTGGTCGCTGCCACACCGGTCTGTGTGGTCGCTGCCACTAGGGGCGCTGAAGAGGGTGGTCGCTGCCACACCAGTCGGTGTGGTCGCTGCCACTAGGGGCGCTGAAGAGGGTGGTCGCTGCCACACCGGTCGGTGTGGTCGCTGCCACTAGGGGCGCTGAAGACGGTGGTCGCTGCCACTAGGGGCGCTGTAGAGGGTGGTCGCTGCTACTAGGGGCGCTAAAGACGGTGGTCGCTGCCACACCGGTCGGTGTGGTCGCTGCCACTAGGGGCGCTGAAGAGGGTGGTCGCTGCCACACCGGTCGGTGTGGTCGCTGCCACTAGGGGCGCTGAAGAGGGTGGTCGCTGCCACACCGGTCGGTGTGGTCGCTGCCACTAGGGGCACTGAAGACGGTGGTCGCTGCCACAAGGGGCGCTGAAGATAGTGGTCGCTGTCACACAGACCACTGGTTGCGGTTGGTTGTATCTACTATGTAATACATCTTTATCATAATTCTTTGTTAAATATACTATGTTATCGATTATGCCTACTCTTATTGTTGCACTATATATTGTGGTTTGTGTGGTTATAGCCTTTCTACAGTAACAAATACATCTAGGTCATAATACTTAATATATAATAAATAAATATAGCCTACTAATTTTTGATTAACTATATTCTTATTGTTGTAATCAGTCTAGCTTGGATTCAACCAACAAGTGGTCACCACACTTCATCGGTGACAACACTGGCCTTCTTCTTGTAGGCAAGAACCAAAGATAGAGAGATTTATTACTGCAGGTTAACCACACAAACTGCAAT